TGAACTTTTGTATAATTCGGGGGTTGCTATTTCTATTTCTGTAAAAATTTAATTAAAAACTTGACACATTGCATCTAATGCGCAGATTACATCTGACAGTCTAGATATCTTCATAATATTAATTATTTGAAATTTTGAATAAGAGCATGCTGAAGAGTATGGTGTTTAGTTTCTATAAATTTGTCAGTTTTTTAGTTTTCTTTGTTGAGACAGAGTTTTGCTCTTGTTGACCAAGCTGGAGTGCAATGGTGGGATCTCAGCTAACCACAATCTCTGCCTTCCGAGGCCATACATGACAAGTGATTCTCCTGCCTCAGCCTCCCTAGGAGCTGGTATTATAGGCATGCGCCACCACACCCAGCTAATTTTGTATTTTTAGTAGAGATAGGGTTTCTCCATGTTGGTCAGGCTGGTCTTAAACTCCCAACCTCAGATGATCTGCCTGCCGCAGCCTCCCAAAGTGCTGGGATTACAGGCATGAGCCACTGCACCTGGTCAGTTTTCTTTTCTTCTTCTTCTTCTTCTTTTTTTTTTTTTGTTTGTTTGTTTGTTTGTTTGAGACAGAGTTTTGCTCTTGTTGCCCAGGCTGGCATGCAGTGATGCAATCTCAGCTCACTGCAACTTCCGCCTCCTGGATTCAAGTGATACTTCTGCCTCAGGTTCCCAAGTACCTGTGATTACAGGCAGGTACCACCACGCCGAGCTAATTTTATATTTTTACTAGAGACAGTGCTTCTCCATATTGGTCAGTCTGGTCTCAAACTCCTGACCTCAGATGATCCGCCTGCCTCAGCCTCCCACGGTGCTAGGATTACATGCATGAGCCAGCATGCCTGGCCCAAGTTTTCTTTTTTTAATTAATTTCTATTCTCATTCCAGTTTGATCATTAAACGTAATTTGTAAATTTTCTGTTTTAAAAAATTTGTAAAGACTTTTTTGTGAGGGGGGAGGAAAGAAAAATAGACTTTTTTGTGGCCTAACGGATTCAAGGAGAATATTGTATGAGCTATTCATATTCAGAAAAATATGTATTCTGCTGTTGTTGAAGAGTGTTCTCTACAATTCTGTTTGGTATAATTGTTTTATACTGCTTCAAGTCTTCTATTCCCTTATTAATATTCTCTCTTTTGATTATTCATTATAGAAATTGAGGTATTAAAATATCTTACTATAATTATATTGCTCTCTATGTCTTGCTTTATTTCTGTCAGTATTTGCTTTATATGTTTGGAACCCTAAAGTAAGACACACACACAGACATACACACACACACTAATATAGGGTATACAGACATTTTTCAGGGGTTCCAAGTCAACATTTTTATCATAGTTTAATGTTCTTCTTTGTCACTTATGAGCCTTTAGTTAAAATATATTTTATGAAATAGGACATTTTTTGACTTAAGATATACTTTGAGTAATATTATTTTGACCTCTTCTATTTTGTTATTTGCCTCAAGTTTTTTTTCTTTCATCTTGCCTTTTTCAGTCTCCTTTAATCATTAGATCTCAAGTGACTCTTGTAGAAAACCAAGTTGTATCTTGCTTTTTGATTTCTTAAATTATTTGGTGCACGTATTTCAAATGTAAAGTTTACTTCATAAATATTTAAATAATTTGCTGAAATAGAAAGCCTTATTCATGTTATTGTTTTACTCGATTATTGTATCTTTGTCCCTTATTATTTTTCTGTCTTTTGTGTCCTTTTGATTTTTTATTGATAGAATTTTACTTCTTATTTTTTTATGTATCTATACAGATTCTTTGTGGTATCTTGGAAAATACATAAAATTTCTCAAAGTATAAACTTAAGTTGCATTTGAAAATTCTTCCTCATTACATCTGCCCTTGACTTTGTTATTAATGTTATTAATTATATTTTCATGTTGTATATTTATTAACAGATCATGTTGAATAGTTTATGAACATTTTATGCTCTTTAAAATTTTAGAGAATAGTGGCCGGATGCAGTGGCTCAAGCCTGTAATCCCAGCACTTTGGGAGGCCAAGGCGGGTGGATCACGAGGTCAAGAGATCGAAACCATCCTGGTCAACATGGTGAAACCCCGTCTCTACTAAAATACAAAAAAAATTAGCTGGGCATGGTGGCGCGTGCCTGTAATCCCAGCTACTCAGGAGGCTGAGGCAGGAGAATTGCCTGAACCCAGGAGGCGGAGGTTGCGGTGAGCCAAGATCACGCCATTGCACTCCAGCCTGGGTAACAAGAGCGAAACTCCGTCTCAAAATAAATAAATAAATAGATAAATAAATAAATAAATAAATTTTTAGAGATAATTAAAATGTTTTCTGCACTATCCTGATAATGGTACAGAACTACATTTGTGTATGTGCATGTCTTTACCAGAAAGTTATGTATTTTCATATGATTATGTTTTCTTGCATCATACTGTTTTCAGTGGAAGATACTTTTCTTCGGCATTTCTTTTGTAACGCAGGTATTGTGCTAATATACTTTTTCAATATTTGATTCTCTTGAAAGCTCTCTACTTTTTCTTCACTTTCAGAACAGTTTGGCTGGTTGTATTATTCCCATTTAGAAGCTATCTTTCAGCATTTTAACTATATCATAATCCCTATTGTCTAAAGAAAAATTGTTGACAGATTCAATGACTAAGACCGCACTTAAAATCACACATCACTTTTATCCTGTAGCTCCTAAGATTCTCTTTCTTTGACTTTTGAAACTTTGCTTATATGTGTACCTTTTTAAAAATCTGTATATGTAGGCCGGGCACAGTGGCTCAAGCCTGTAATCCCAGCACTTTGGGAGGCCGAGGCGGGTGGATCACGAGGTCAAGAGATCGAGACCATCCTGGTCAACATAGTGAAACCCCGTCTCTACTAAAAATACGAAAAACTAGCTGGGCGTGGTGGCGCGTGCCTGTAATCCCAGCTACTTAGGAGGCTGAGGCAGGAGAATTGCCTGAGCCCAGGAGGCGGAGGTTGCGGTGAGCCGAGATCGCGCCATTGCACTCCAGCCAGGGTAACAAGAGCGAAACTCCGTCTCAAAAAAAAAAAAAAATCTGTATATGTATCCTAGTTGAAGTTTGTTGAGCTTCTTCATTTTTTTACATCTTTTTTTTTTTTTTTTTGAGACGGAATTTCTCTCTTGTTACCCAGGCTGGAGTGCAATGGAGCGATCTCAGCTCACCGCAACCTCCGCCCCCTGGGTTCAGGCAATTCTCCTGCCTCAGCCTCCAGAGTAGCTAGGATTACAGGCACACGCCACCATGCCCAGCTAGTTTTTTGTATTTTTAGTAGAGACGGGGTTTCACTTTGTTGACCAGGATGGTCTCGATCTCTTGACCTCGTTATCCACCCATCTCGGCCTCCCAAAATGCTGTATCCTTCTCTTTTGAAACTTTCTGTCATTATTTTTTTGTATTTTTCACCTCCACAATTTGTTTTTTATATTTTTAATGTTTTCATTGATAGTCTTATTTTTCTTGTTATATTTATTTGTATGTGTTCCCATTTAGCTCACTGAGCATTATTCAGGTTAAATTTTTAAAATTTGTATATCTTCATTTTTTATGGTTGTTTTCTGAAAAGTTTTAAATTTTTTAATTAGGCCATGTTGCCCTAATATTTTGTATATATTTTAATATTTGCTTGTTATTTGAACATGAACAAAAAGCTGTTTGTCATAGTATTTACAATGTTGCTTTGTCCTGACATAATCTGAATCCAGTTGTCTTTGCTGGAGACAATAGGAGCCTCTCATACATGTTCTAAGAATGCGTCTTGTCTGGAATTTTATGTTTATTGTTCAGTGTTTTTTTTTTTTTTTTTTTTTTTTGAGACGGAGTTTCGCTCTTGGTTACCCAGGCTGGAGTGCAATTGCACGATCTTGGCTCACCGCAACCTCTGCCTCCTGGGTTCAGGCAATTCTCCTGCCTCAGCCTCCTAGTAGCTGGGATTACAGGCACGTGCCACCATGCCCAGCTAATTTTTTTTGTATTTTAGTAGAGACAGGGTTTCACCATGTTGACCAGGATGGTCTCGATCTCTCGACCTCGTGATCCACCCGCCTCGGACTCCCAAAGTGCTGGGATTACAGGCTTGAGCCACCACGCCCGGCCTATTGTTCAGTTTAAAGGGTTTGACCATGTTTCTTCTTAACAGCCTCTAATCACTATTCTACCTATTCCCTGTATTTAATACTGCAGTCTGCTCCTGAAACATTTGCTCTTAACAGACCCAAGCTATTCTTTCAAAGTATACCACCATTTCTCTCAGCTGTCTCTGTTACTGGAGACAGAAACCAGATTTTGTAAAGACCGCCACAAACAAGAAGTAAGGATATATGTGTCAGTATATTTCTTCTAAGTAAGAAGCCAGGAGTTGAAAGTTTACTCCTATAGGCACAGTGCTATATTGGAGAGGAGAAAGAGCTGTGTTGGGTAAATTTAACAAACTTCCCTTCCTGTTCATGTGGTTCTTGGCATCGTGCTTACCAGAGGCATTCCATACAATTAACTCATTTTAAAACTTTGCGGCTGGGCGCGGTGGCTCAAGCCTGTAATCCCAGCACTTTGGGAGGCCGAGGCGGGTGGATCACAAGGTCAAGAAATCGAGACCATCCTGGTCAACATAGTGAAACCCTGTCTCTACTAAAAATACAAAAAATTAGCTGGGCATGGTGGCGCATGCCTGTAATCCCAGGTACTCAGGAGGCTGAGGCAAGAGAATTGCCTGAACCCAGGAGGTGGAGGTTGCGGTGAGCCGAGTTTGTGCCATTGCACTCCAGCCTGGGTAACAAGAGCGAAACAGCGTCTCAAAAAAAAAAACAACTTTGCAACAAGGCATTTTGGTCAGTATATTTTTATTGCAATTATATGTCTGTGAAGAAATTATAACCTGTGATACTTTGTTATGCTAGCTTACTAATGTAGTTTGTATATATTTTATATGTTAGATCCATAAAGTGTATTCATATGAATCTAGTAAGTAGGATAATTTATTTTTATTTATTTCAGCTACGTGTTCTCCTTTTACCCAAGACCTTTCACCAGTTCCGGGGATAGAAGATTCATCCCATAAACGTATACTGAGAAGATGTGAGAAATATGGACATGAGAATTTACGATTAAGAAAAGACTACAAAAGTGTGAATGCGTGTAACGTGCAGAAAGGAGTTTATAATGGGCTTTTCCAATGCTTGTCGATTTCCCAGAGCAAAATATTTCAGTGTAATGCATGTGTTGAAGTTTTTAGTAAATTTCCAAATTCAAACAAACAGACAAAACACACTGGAGAGAAACTCTTTACATGTACAGAATGTGGCAGATCATTTTACATGTCACACCTAACTCAACATACAGGAATTCATGCTGGAGAGCAACCCTGCAAATGTGAAAAATGTGGTAAATCCTTTAATAGGTCCACATCCCTTACTAAACATAAGAGAGTTCATACTGGAGAGAAACCCTACACATGTGAAGAATGTGGCAAAACCTTTAGACGGTCCACAGTGCTGAAGGAACATAAGAAAATTCATACTGGAGAAAAACCCTACAAATGTGAAGAATGTGGCAAAGCCTTTACACGGTCCACAACGCTGAATGAACATAAGAAAATTCATACTGGAGAGAAACCCTACAAATGTAAAGAATGTGGCAAAACCTTTAGATGGTCCACAAGCCTGAATGAACATAAGAATATTCATACTGGAGAGAAACCCTACAAATGTAAAGAATGTGGCAAGACCTTTAGACAGTCTAGAAGCCTGAATGAACATAAAAATATTCATACTGGAGAAAAACCCTACACATGTGAAAAATGTGGCAAAGCTTTTAACCAATCCTCAAGTCTTACTATACACAGGAGCATTCATTCTGAACAAAAACTTTACAAATGTGAAGAATGTGGCAAAGCCTTTACTTGGTCCTCATCCCTTAATAAACATAAGAGAATTCATACTGGAGAGAAGCCCTACACATGTGAAGAATGTGGCAAAGCCTTTCATAGGTCCTCACACCTTGCTAAGCATAAGAGAATTCACACTGGAGAGAAACCCTACAGATGTGAAGAATGTGGCAAAGCTTTTAACCAATCCTCCACTCTTATATTACACAAGAGAATTCATTCTGGGCAAAAACCTTACAAATGTGAGGAATGTGGCAAAGCCTTTACACGGTCCACAACTCTGAATGAACATAAGAAAATTCATACTGGAGAGAAGCCCTACAAATGTAAAGAATGTGGCAAAGCCTTTATATGGTCCACAAGCCTGAGTGAACATAAGAATATTCATACTGGAGAGAAACCCTACAAATGTAAAGAATGTGGCAAAGCTTTTAACCAATCCTCAGGCCTTATTATACACAGGAGCATTCATTCTGAACAAAAACTTTACAAATGTGAAGAATGTGGCAAAGCCTTTACTCGGTCCACAGCCCTGAATGAACATAAGAAAATTCATTCTGGAGAGAAACCCTACAAATGTAAAGAATGTGGCAAAGCCTATAACTTATCCTCAACCCTTAATAAACATAAGAGAATTCATACTGGAGAGAAACCCTTCAGATGTGAAGAATGTGGCAAAGCCTTCAGTTGGTCCTCATCCCTTACTAAACATAAGATAATTCATACTGGAAAGAAATTCTACAAATGTGAAGAATGTGGCAGAGCTTTTACTCGGCCCTCAACCCTTACTGTACATAAACGAATTCATACTGTCAAGGAACATATTTGATAACATAGTTGAATGACATTGCTAAGTAATTTTTTTCTTCCAGTGTCTTTAAACAAATAAATTCAAGAATATTGTTCCCATATGATTAACTTGTATTCTTTTTTGTTTTAGTTAAAATTATTTTTTAAAATTTTTGTAGGTACATAGTATGTGTATATATTTATGGCATATGTGGGTTGTTTTGATGGGGCATACCACCTGTAATTATCACATCAGAGTAAATGAGTTATTCATCAAAAGCATTTATTTGTATTACACACAGTCCAGTTAAACAATTTATTTATTTTGAGATGGAGTCTAGCTCTGTCACCCAGGCTGGAGTGCAATGGCACAATATGGGCTCCTTGCAATCTCCACCTGCCGGGTTCAAGCAATTCTCCTGCCCCAGCCTCCTAAGTAACTGGGACTACAGACAGGCACCACCATGCCCAGCTAATTTTTTGCATTTTTAGTAAAGATGGGGTTTCATCATGCTGGCCAGACTGGTCTCAATCTCCTGACCTTGTTATCCACCCACCTTTGCCAACAAAATGCTGGGATTACAGGCATGAGCCACTGCACCCAGCCACTTTATTTTTAACTTTATAATTATTTTTTTGCTTGTTATTTTATGATTATAGTATATCAGAATATAATTGTAATTCACACATTTCTGTGTCATGAATGCTTTTAAAAAAATATTCCATGGCTCATGGGCCTGTAGTCCCTGCTACTCGGGAGGCTGAGACAGAGGAATTGCTTGAACCCAGGAGGCAGAGATTGCAGGGAGCCAGGGTCACACCACTGCACCCAGCCATTTTAATTATTTTTAACTTTATAATTTTTTTTGCTTGTTATTTTATGATTATAGTATATCAGAGTATAATTGTAATTCACACATTTCTATGTCATGAATGCTTTTTAAAAATGTTCTGTGGCTCATGGGCATGTAGTCCCAGCTACTCAGGAGGCAGAGGAATTACTTGAACCCAGGAGGCAGAGATTGCAGGAAGCTGAGATCACACCACTGCACTCGAGCCTGGCAACAGAGCAAGGCTCCATCTCAAAAAAAAAAAAGTACCATGTTTTTCTTTGAACATGTAGCATCTCTTCCTGCAAACAAATAGATACTTAATTTACATGGAGTTAAATATGTATATTACTCTAATGATAAAACTTAGATGTAAGAAAATTATGGCGCAAGCAGTGGTGTCTGTGTGAGAGTTTGTATCTTTTTTCCAAAGAAAATAGCAATACTGGAACAAACAAGATTATTTTAGTAAGGTGGATAATTTACTAGAAATCTAGAAACCTAAAGCATTCTGAAATCAAATCTGTATTTTCTTAATTACTGTAATATTTAATGATCATTGTTGAGACTCCCTCAAGCAGATTCTATTTATGTGTCTATTACTCATTCTAGAGCTATAATTTGCTTGTTTCTTACTTTTTTTGTTGTTTTTACTTTATGAAGTATTTATTATGTGAGCTGTTCAGAAATTATAATATTTTTTATAAAATTCAGCAGTGCACACAAAATTTTTAAATGGAAATTCACATTTCTTAAGTTTTAGAACATTTCATTTTATTGCTTTAATTGAATAATTGTATATGCACTGATTAGTTATCCTTTCACTTTTTAAAAATAACATAAATGAGTTTATCGTGCCAATTGTTCAGGTAAGTACTGGGAAAACTTTGTAATTCATAGGATGTTTTGATATATAATTACAGTAAACATAAGAAAGTACTGGGTGTGTAATAGATGCTCCATAATTAGCCACAAGTATTCTTTCTGGAGTTCATAGCTCCAAGTAAGAGATTGAAAATATCTATGGTGAAGAAATGGCAGTCTGCATGTGGAGAGATCTGTTCCCAGGCTGCAAAACTGACTGATTGTGAACTTAAAGAGAATTTCTGCTTTTCTAATTATCTTTTTGTGATGTATTTACTCCTAGGTATGTATGCCTCACAGCCCTTTTTTGTTTTATGGCTACAGTTTCCTCACTGTTCTCTTTATGCCATGTAATTTCATACAGACTTTCTGCGTTCTGATTAGAAGTTTGAAATCTTTTAATGTGGCAAATTGTTTTTAACTCGAGTGTTTGAGGTTATTTATAGCTTGTCAATGCAATATTTAGATCACTAAATTGACATAAGTCATTTATTGTCCACAGGGGCATTCGTGAAACACGAAGTGAAATACCAGGAGCTGGTTCTGGAGATTTGGAGGGCAACCGCAGGCCCCAGTGTGGGTCCCAGCCTCTGGCACACTGGTACATGCCCAAAGTACCCCTCAGGCCACCACCACTCTCATCAGGGCCCTTGCTGCTATCATTGTTATAATCTGTGCCTGCAGTCCCCTGGTGCCTGCTCCAGGTGGCAGATGACTTTGCTACCAGCATTCACACCTTTTTATTCCATCTGTGCAGGAGCACTTTATAATTCTGAATCTGTTTTAAAAATCATTTTACTAGGCCGGGCGCGGTGGCTCAAGCCTGTAATCCCAGCACTTTGGGAGGCCGAGGCGGGTGGATCACGAGGTCAAGAGATCAAGACCATCCTGGTCAACATGGTGAAACCCCGTCTCTACTAAAAATACAAAAAAGTAGCGGGGCATGGTGGCGTGTGCCTGTAATCCCCGCTACTCCAGAGGCTGAGGCAGGAGAATTGCCTGAACCCAGGAGGCGGAGGTTGCGGTGAGCCGAGATCCTGCCATTGCACTCCAGCCTGGGTAACAAGAGCGAAACTCCATCTAAAAAAAAAAAAAAAAAAAAAATTTACTTGAGCTAGCTCATATAAAAGGAATTACATACTCTTTGTTACTATGTTTTTGATACATTTCACTGAACATTGATGTCTTAAAGTTTTACACTTGTTGTAGCATGTGAATGATTTGCTTTTTGAAGGTACAGCCATATTCCATTGCATGCATATGCCATATGGTAACCATTTATCAAGAAACCTTAAGTAGCTTTCACCTTTTTTTATGGGCGGGGGAGGGATGCTCTTAAAAATATGTGTGCAGGCCAGGCACAGTGGCCTATGCCTATAGTCCCAGCACTTTGGGAGGCCGAGGCAGGTGGATCACCTTGGGTTGGGAGTTCAATACCAGCCTGACCAACATAGAGAAATCCCACCTCTATTAAAAATACGAAATTAACCAGGCGTGGTGGCACATGCCTGTAATCCCAGCTACTCAGGAGGCTGAGGTCGGAGAATCACTTGAACTTGGGAGGCAGAGGTTGCAGTGAACTGAGATCATGTCATTGCACTGCAGCCTGGGCAACAAGAGTGAAACTTCGTCTAAAAAAAAAAGTGTGTGCAATTGTGTATTCCAGGTCGTGCTTTGCATACATAGATTCCCAGAAGTGGGATTGCTGGATTGTATAATAATTTATCTTTTTTTCTTGAATTGTATAATAATTTCTTCTTTCTTTTGGATTGTATGTTAATTTATTTTTCTTTCTTTGGATTATATATAATTTCTTCTTTTTTTTTTCTTTTTTTTAGATTGCGTTTCACTTTGTCACCCAGCCTGAAGTGCAGTGGTGTAATAATGGCTCACTACAGCCTTAACATCTTAACATTCCAGGCTCGAACAATCCTTCCACCTCAGTCACCTAAGTAGCTGGGACTACAGGCACATGCCACCACATCTGGCTAATTTTTGTATTCTTTGTAGAGGTAAGGTCTCATTGTATTTCCCAAGCTGAAAACAAACTTCTGAGCTCAGGTAATTCTCCCACCTTAGCCTCCCAAAGTGTTGAAATTACAGGCATGAGCCACATTTCATTTTTAATATTTTGTAAAACCTCCATCCTACTCTCTTGAGAGCTGCATTATTCTTTTTCACCAACAGTGCATGGAGGTTCAAAATGCTCTACATACTTGACAACATTTATTACTTTTTATTTGTTGAATAGTGGCCACGCTAATGGGTGAGAGGTAAGAGCTGATTGAGATTTTGCTTTGCATTCTTCTCAGAAGTGAATTTGATTGTGTTTTCAGATTCCTCTTGTTTTTGCATAGCTTCTTTTAGGAAATGTCTTGGAAGACATTAGTCCCATTTTTTTAAATTAACTTACTCACTTTTGGTGATTGTTGTTTCAGAGGTCAAAGGGATGATATTTGTACTCCACTTAATGTTTCCCTTGCTGTGCTGATGTGCAGGTTTTGAAAGTTTATTGATACAGTACCTTTTCTAATTCTCTTGTCGCTTCTGCTTTTAATGTGATATTTAAAAAAAAAAAACTGCCAAAACCAATGTTATTAGGCTTCTCCCTATATTTTCTTCTAAGTGTTCCAGAGGTATATATCTTACCTTTAAGTATTTAGTTTATATAAAATATTTTGTTTGCATGTTATCGAAGCAAGTGGTCCAAGTTTATTATCATTAATTTAGCCCTTTCTCACACCATTTGTTGAGGAGTCTGACCTTTTCTTCACTGTTTGGTCATGGTAACCTCGTAAAAGATTATTTGGTAATGTTTGCACAGGTTTATTTCTGGGTTCTTTATTCTGTTCTGTTAGGCATTTCTTTGTCTTTATGCCATTACCACATTGGTTTTATTTTTGTAGCTTTGGAATCTGCTTTGACATCATGAGATACAGAACCTCTTTGTTTTTTCCTAAAGCTGTGTTGGCTATTCATGGTCCCTTGAGATTACATGTGAATTTGAGAATTATATAAAATATCTCTGCAAAATAAGTAATTGGAATTTTAATATGATGACATTGAATTTGTGCAATACCCGGAAGTATTGACAGCTTAACAATATTGCATCCTGACTGAGAAACATGCATTTGTGTCTGTGTTTGTGTGTGGATTGACTGTCAAAGTGTTTCCTTGGCCTGTCTCTGGCCTCCTGCACAACTCTAGCTATGGAAGACTGGCTGACCACTTGATCCTCAACTGGTTTATCTTCTTAGATGTATCATTGTCAACTTGGTAGAGCAATAAAAACACCTTTCACAAGTTGAACACAATCATCTACTTTTGGCCCAATCTCACACACACAGACCCAGAAAGTTGGAAGCTAAGAAAGGTAAATTCTCTATGGTAGAACTGTAGGTTATTTTAATTTCCTTTATTGAATTTTT